AATGGATTACATCTTGTTTTCTGAACGAATTTGATTGTCCGCCGCCTTTCCATGCGGTGCCCACTGTTAGGGCGAACAGAGTGGACAGCAATAGGAACACCAACTATAGTATAATAACAGTAATAATAAAAGTAAAACATTTGAACATTTCTTAATTAGACTATATGTTGGGACCTTTGAGTAAACCATAGTTTGATGATTAGTTTTTAGCAGCAATTTTTGAATACAAAAACACGAGTTTATACTAAAGAGTCGAATGAGTAGTTTTGCTTTTATACTCAATTCAATGAATTAAATCATTTGGAAAAGTGGTCTAATTTTGGGCGGAGTTTCTCTAGTTTTTTGTCGATATTATAGACAAATGCGATAAATATTTAGATTTTTCTTTATCTTAATTTATATTAGCAGCAAATGGTCTCTAAACACAATTCCGTATCAGTCTATCAGTTAAACCTGTTTGAAAGTAAAATATAATTATGTTCTTTAAAAATATATTAAATTTCACTTATTGTACACCATTTTGCATATGTAATTGAGTTAAGAGTTAATTGTTTTTGAAAATATTCTTAAATTAGTGAAAGTATTGGCGCGACTAAAGAGAGCGTAAAGAAAGTTATGGTTAACTCATTCGTCAAATATTTGTCGAAATACACAACAAGTTCAACACCAATGAGGAAGTGTTTTCTGTCATTATATTAATATCTTCTGCTCACTATATGAAGTAATTATTTTATATAATAATGTCGTTTATATCAAACATATATTTCTCAATTTCTCGAATAAATTTATGGCTTTATACGATATATAATACCCAAATAATTAATTGCGATATCAGTTGGGAATAGTTATGGAAAAATTTATTGCACAACCAATGAGCGTTTAATATGCAAATAAATTTTAAAACCCGAAAAGACAAAAAATATGGATTCACTTCACTAAGCATTTGTATAATCCTTATTAAAATAGACTTAAAAGAAATCTTTATTTCTGCTGTTTTTTGTCTAAAAATACAATTTTCAAAGTTTTAAAAATACTGAACTGAGACTTAATTCAATTAAAATGCAATTTATTTTAGTTGTCTAAAAGTGGATAAATATATAGATTTGTTACCTATTGTTTCCAATTAATGCGCTTAACTCAATAATTATAGTTATTACTTTAATAAATAATTAATATTATAACTCAACACAAATCACTTGTAAACCATTTATGATCCTTTAGCGCAAATATATTCAATATTTAGATACAATATATAGTAAAAACTGAATAACTAGTTGTATAATATAGCATAAATTCATTACATTATAGCTGTATTTTCTATATATTTTGAGAACAATATTTACAAAATTAGATAAAACATACGATTAGTCGCAATGACTACATTAATTGGAAATTGTCAAAAACTGTGCAATAATGATCGTTTACAATACTTACACCGTTTACTAATTTGTTAATATGTTGTACTTATCGATCATTAGAAACAAACCGAAAGTTTTCCAAAACGACATTTTCGCTAAACTTTTGAACCTTTCCCACCCATACTTATAACTTATAAGTAATATTTTCAATCAATAATTAAAAATCATTGTTTTTCCAATTAATTTAATATTTATTGAAAAATTAAAACTTTTAATTTAACAAAAATGACTGAACAAAACACTAAACTCATTAGAAATTATTTAATTATTTAATAATAAGATTCAAATCACGTATTCATTGAATCGCTTTTGAGCCCCAAATTAAGCGAATCAATGATATTGTGATTTCATTATACAATATAATAATAACATTTAATAAAATATTAATACAATTCATATATTCAACAAATTTCCATTAATATTTAGCATATTATACATTACAGTTTTGATACATGAATTCATTGTACATTTTAATGAGTATTTATACGGCGTATGAAATAAGTTGAGTTATCTATCAATGAATTTGAGATTTGAAATAATGAATTGGAAAATGATGTTGAATTGAGTGGTGGAGTAGTGGAGTATTTGTCCGTTAGTTGTGGTCATTGTTTGGCAATCATAGGTGTGTTATAAACAAAAGCCAAATCCATTGATGGCTATAAGCATTGCATAAATGGTTCGCTCGAGAATTGGTCCATAAATCTGATTAACAGAAAATAAGACAATGCCTGCAAATGCCTGCAAAAGCCTCCGATTTCTTGAATTATATCCGAAGAAGAAGTGGAGAATAAGAAGAAGAAAATAATAATAAGAAAAGTCTAACTTTTTTCTGCACACAACTCCCCATCGGTTTAATAGTTTCTCGAAATAAAACTATTAATTGAAATAAACTCTTGACTCGAATTCAAAGAGTAGTTCAACCATTAAAACAATTCAGTCATCAGATTGAGTGTTGTTTATAAGTCGACCAAAGAATGTAAGCTTTAATTTAAAATAATTTTTCGTTTCACTTCACAATCACTTGTTGTGATAAATTTTTATCGAAGAAAAAATATTTTCATTTAAAATACAGTTTTTTATATAATAAATGGTTATCACATGAAAAAGCATTGGAATGAATGGATTAAGTTTGTTGTGAGCCTTTCAAGTGATTTGAAGCCATTAATAGTCATACTCTTTGGGGTGATTTGGGTTGAGAGCGATAGGCCTTCTTTCCCAACAACATCCGCTTGAATGCTGTCCTAAAGTCTGGACTGAAAATCGTATCTAAATTCGCGATTCAATAAACATTTATTTGAAAAATTAATTAATCAGATTATAAGCGATTATTGAGAGTGAGAAATGTATATTAAATAAGTAGTTGACTCACATATAATAGGATTAACGCAACTGTTTATATAACCCAACCATAAAAAAATGTTATTAACTATATTTGGAAGATCTTCGCGACACGACTCGCAAAGGGGTAGTAATAGGGCGACGATGAAGAAGGGTAGCCAACAGATCACAAACAGACCTACAGTGCAACAAAGCAACCAGCACATCATCAGTATATCAGTACTAATGCTTCAATATAACATATACCTCAATCAATAAATCTATATTCATTTAAATATCTATAGTAAACACATTTGAAGTGTACGATACATGCATTTTGTTTACATAATAAAAACTCAAAACAACTTTTGATTATTTGAAATTAGTGCATCTAATGAAATTGTATGCAATATGCTTATCATTAATTTTAAATTAATTAAATGTCAAATTATGAGTTGATTTACAGTGAAAAAATGTTTAGATTGAAGTAGTTTTAAATAATTAGTTTTATATATTTAGATTATACTAGACGATTAGTATGGAAAAATAGCAGAGCATAATAAGTATTTCTAAATACTATACAAGTACTGTACAGTATTGTACTACAAGTGGAAGACTTAAACTAAGGTTTGGCATACTATACAAAATGCAGGTTTCCTATGATAGTGAATGTGTTTAAGTAGTATTGATTTTAGCGTATTTTAGTAATACTAATAGCACTTCATATGAGTTCTTGTATAATGTGTTTACAATGAGAACAAAATTGTTTGCAAAATAATATCCAGTTATTAACAAACATATAGCGCAATACTAATTGCAAAGCACTGGTACAGTGTATATATCGCACCGGTAATGATTGCTAATGTTTTTGCTGCTTTACGTTCCCGTTTGGCTTCAATAGACTCCCTCTGATGTAACCGTTTTTTAGGCAATATATCGACTTTATCGCCGACAGACCCGTTATTATTGGCGGCCCCTCTATCGGGACTGGCGTTTGGCGACGAAGTGGACACTTCACTGGAGAAGTTGGTGACCAATTCATTAGTTGAAGGCACTGTTAGGCTACGAGTGGATCCGGACTTATCGGACATCTTATCAGACGTTTTCCTCAACGCCAGAACCACTTTATTGCCGGGTTTTCGTCGGATCCGCTTCCGAGCCACCTATCGATCCATCCATTCATACCATTCAATGAAACAAAAAACAAATACAATTAAATGAAAAATGTAAGAAAGACTAATAGTTAAAGACAATGAAATAATTGGCGACAACACGACAACTACACACAAATACATTCACTATTCTGTAGCAAAACATCTTTTTGTTGAATTATTTTGGAAATACACTCAAAAAGTGGGCAAAAAGGCAACAGAAAAAGAAGGCGACGAAAAGGACAATCATTTCATTGAATCGCATTAGAAGTAAAGTTAATTTTGTTTTATTTGTCGTTATATCTATGTTTAGGATTAGTTGTGACACAAAACATATATACACTTCAATAAACATCTCTATTCTCTCTCTTATCGCCTCTTTTGCTTCGCTATACTCATTCTCTCTCTCTCTCTCACACACACACACACACACACAATCATTAATTTCATTATTGAACCAAAAATTAAAGAGTTTTTGTTTATAAGGCGAGCAAATTGAACACTAACTTATATACAGACAATGTAATACAGTGTATATGAATGTACGGAATATTCCTATGTTTGTATAGTAGAGTATCGTCGCTCAAGATTTGGTCACTTATTCATCAATACATTCGTCAATTAATCTCAAGTCATCACAAGTAATGCATTTAAATCCCTGAGTTGTAGTTTGACAGTCAATGCTTATTTATTTATAACGCAATCAACACTTATATAAACAAAGATTTTGGCGGATCTTAAGAAGTTTGTTGTGAAAGTGAGGAGAATATTGTTTTATTATTCATTAGAATCCGATATAAAATTCCTATTCTTATCAAAGCATTAATTTTCAAAACAAAATCCATAAATAATTCGAAAGAAATGACTGAAAGAAAATCATTTATTAATGCCGTAAACGGCTCTTCATTAGAGAAAATGACTCTAAAATCCCAATAAAAGTAAAACTTAAAGAGCTTTTGATAAAAATTGAAGAAAATATTTTTTATGCAAATGTCATATTAATAGAGTGAACGAAAGACATAAGTTTTCTTTTATGAGGGATTTTCGAGTGTAGAGAATAATGTTAAAGTATAGATCATTATATTTGATGTCATGTGTTCAGCACAAAAAAATAAAGCAAAGACTCCAATAATTCATATGTATTCCCAATGGGACAGGGAGTGAATGCATTGAATGTGTGATAGAAGTCATACACAATAGGAATTCAAATATCATTTTCAGTTTTTACAGCAAAAAACTTAAAAGAATGAAAAAAGTTTTTTCTTCTGTTAACGATATCCTATTATAAATATTTTTGGATATTTTCGCTAACGATTGCCTCACATTTCAATCAAATCTAAAGTCATTATTATTTTGATTCCTTATTTTTATTCTTCACTTTTTGTCATTTATGTTGAAATCTGTATTCGCTTTCATCTCATCTCTAGTTTTGGCTTTAATTAAATGCTTTACAGCAGAGAAGAGACAGAATTTGATTCTTTGGGATAATAATCCCCAAAAATGATGGAAAGACTCAAAGAGTCAAATCGTTGACAATTGGCATCCAAGCCGTCATTAAATCACAGATACATCGGCTTAAGACATAAATACCATATGTTTTTCCAGTTGTTTATGCAATATATGGCTCACAGGTTAACAAGCGATGGACTATAACTACAACTTAATAACGTTCATCACAAATGTTGGACTTATTATTAATTAAGCGCTCATTAATTTATACGAGAATTTGATCCAAACATTAGTTTAGATATAAACTAACTTTAAGTTGAGTCTCACCTGAAATATACGCCAATAGAGGACTAGTATTAAAGCGAGAGGAACGTAGAAAGTGGCGAATGTGGCGAACACTTGATATGACACGTCTTGGGATATGAGACACGACTTGTCCTCTTCTATGCGCCGGAAGAAGTCCGGGTCTTTCCAGCCCAACACCGGCGCCAACGACACGATGCCGGCCACCAACCAAATGCCAAATATCATGGTTCCGATACGACGGGCGTTTCGGTTGTGTATGTAATCCACGTTAGTTACGGCCCAAAAACGGTCCTATTTGTCACCATTTCAGAGTCAATACAATCAGATATAAACATAGGTTTGAATGCAATGTTAGCTATGAAAGACTGACCACTGCGATGGCCAACAGATGAAGAATACTTGCGGTACAACACAACACATCGGCTATAGTCCACACATCGCAGAGTCCGGCGCCCAGAGTCCAGGCGCCCGACACCACGTATACGGCGCCCAAAGGCATGACAAGACAGGCAACCATGAGGTCGGCCACAGCCAGCGAGAAGACTAGATAATTGCCAACAGATCTGAGGTTACGCTCGAGAAGTATGGCAGCGATGACGAAGACATTGCCCACAACTGTGCAAAGGGTGAGGACAGCGAGTATTGTGGCCGTCATTATAGTGAAGACGAGGTCACGGGTTTCGTAATCAAAGTCATCGATAAACGACTCATTAGGACTGAGTGTTTGCACCGCACTCTCCATAATTGGCGAACAGATCCGCACTTTCCTTGTCTCTCACTCTTCTATAATTATATTCTCGAAGTGACACACCATTAGAAATGTCTTCATATCTCTGGAGTCACTCATAAATAAGTTAAACGAGAGATTGAGACCAAGATTTGAATCGTGAAATGAACACAACTTTTGCAGTGATTTGTGTGATTTGTGTGAACACATTATTCACTGCTTTATTATTAATGCAATCAAATGTTCGCCAAAACAACACTCGGGAACCAACACTACTCGACCGCAAAGCATCTAAATTTATAAACAAACATATATTTTATACGTCATTCAATTTTATTATATATTATCATAATATACTAGAATATTATAACTTATTATTTAGGAATATTAGACAATTATTATGGTTTAAATATTGAAATTAAGGTTTCATTTCAATCTAAGCAGTTATGAAATCCAAATTTAATGCTATCACAAGCGAGATCTTATCAATTTATTAGCACTTTATATTCAATACATAGAAAGTCATCAACGTAAATGATTAGCATTTTAATTAATTTATAAATTAACATTTAATTATTTTAAATGATATCGTATAAGCCATTATGTCCTCAACTAATGCTAAATAAGAGTAATATTTGATTATTAAGAAATAAAATCTTAATTTTAATGCATAACTTTTTATCAAACGTGACCCTATAACTAATTTAAGTATTAATAGTTTTATTACTATTTTATGTTTTTAACTTAATTGATAAATTAATGACAAGTGTTTTATAAAAATGTCAAAATTCCAAATATTTAATGAATTACTATTAAAGATAGTTTGGTTCATACTGTAAATAACAGAAGTTTACTTTAAATTATGAAAAATAAATTAAAATATTTTTGATAATCCAACTCTTGCTTTCAAAACAAGTAAATCATAAAAATGTTCAAAATTTATTGCTTTAAAGGATTATTCAGTGTTCAAGGATTGGCGTACATCTTGGCGTGAATTCCCGTTTCGAACATTAATTCCAATTAAAATGAATCCTAAAATCCATTCAGAGAGACATTAAATGAAAAATCAAAATTAAATTCTAAATTAAGTTTAAAAAACGACATAAATTATATCTAACATGTAAGCCTCAATTTAAAGTATTAGTATATTTGTAATAAATAAATATCCGTTAAAACAAATGTCATTATTTATTCCTAAAAATCTTAATTTTTAATTTACAGTATATTTTTATTTGTGACAATTTTAACAATTGTGACAATTATTAATGGCTTATTCTTTCAATCATTAGCTAATTTAAGTTTAGAGCATTATTAGTTACTTATTTCAAATTTCACGGCAATTATAATTTTTAAGTTTAAATTACAAATAAAATTTGTTAGTTTTTAAATGAAACCATATTATATTATTATAAAATTTAATATTATAAATATGCAGTATGCTCATGGAAAACAAGCTTAAAAATAAAATTTCTCAAGAATTACTGCTAAGAATTAAATTTTAATAAAATTTGATTTATTAGTAGGTCTTCATATAAATAATAAATAAATACTGTCAGCATACTTATAAAGATTATTTTCAAAGTGCAAATTTTGAAATTATTTTATATTTCAATAGTTATGAAAGAAAACGTGGAAGCATATAAAAATTAATTTTCTTATAAATATTTTCTATAAACATATTCACAACATTTCTAAGAAATTTAAATTTAGTTAAATTATGAAATACTGTAATATCTATTAAATTAAGTTATATTATTTATATTCAAAAGTAAAAAGTTAATCTTTTTCATAATGTTTTTTAAATTTTAACACTTATAAAATATTAATATATTATATATATAATATTATAAATATTCAAAACGTACAAAACATTTCCAAGTAATTCAATTTATACATTAAAAATTCTTGTTGTTTTCTATAAATGTAATAAAAAATAAATGAATAAATATGGATAAAATTCTATTCTTACAGTATAGCGAGTATTTAGTATTACCGGTATATTTGAGTATAAATACAATACGAGTGATGAATGAATTTGAGCGCAAAAGTCAATTCATTTCTATTTTAGTAAAACAAAGATAAAATGTGTTTCGAAAAAATGAATAATTAATTCCAAGATAACTGTATTCGGTTGGACTATATTTCGATCTAAACTATCGTTTTGTATAATTAATAAACAAAAGAGAAAATTAATGAATCAAATTATTTGATTAATTAATCCTCAAATTTAATTAAATAGATTGCGGTTGAAATTATTTTTGAAATCATTTGGAAAAGTCATAGTCATTGAATAAATTGAATTCGTAAAAAATAAAAACTAATTTACAATATATTCTCATTTTTTAGTTCACTTAAGGGAACAATTCTTGTGATTTATGAAACAATCAAATGCCAGTGAAATAATGCAAAATACGTTCATTTCTTTACTATCTCTTTAATATTAATATTAATATTTATTATAATATTATCTACAATAATATGCATATCTTTTATATCTTATACACTTTATCAATAAAACTAGTGTTCTATAGAATACATTTTAAATAATCAAATTTTCACTTTCATTATAATTTTCAACAACATATTATAAATTTATTTTGCAAATAATTATAAAGACGAAATTGAAATTTAGAATCAATTATACGGTTTTAAAAAATTAAAATATAAGTTTCATTATTTAAATAGTGCACTTTAAAAAGTTGAAAGATTATTGGATATAAAAATATATTTAATATATTCAGAAATAACAATATTCATAGAATTAATATTTTATAAATGCTAATACTTTAGAAACTTTTTTCAATATTTATTTTAATTCTATATATCTATTTATCTTTTAAGCAGAATATTCTGCAAACAAATGAAATGTTTTTAATTTTTACAATATATTTATATTATTTGTATTGAAAATGATTTAGAATTGAAGCAGAAGTGGAAAGAATTGCAAACGAATCCAATAAATGCGATATTTTATGAAACATATATTGAAGAAACAAAATAATGAGGTTTTTCTTAACAACAATACATATATTACTGGCTTTACTTTACTTTGTGTTAGTATACACTGCCTAACCGTATGTTTCCTTTGAGTTTCACAACTAAATGAGGCCTAAGTTTTTAGCAACAAAAAAAATCAAATACTTTTACGAATTTTGTGGAACAAAATATACGTATAATACAAATAAACACATTTAGTGTATTGTTTTATATTTTATATCTTTCAAAGTAAAGTGAAGTGAATTATTTGAACACATATTTTATTATTCTTTATGATTATTCCCTTAAAAATGGTACAAAAAAGCAATTTCTATCTCCCAATATATTTTGTCTTTCCTTTATATAAGAGAAACCCTAAGGAATATAATTCAGCCAAATATAACTTTATAATCATAGGCTCAGGATTACGTTTCATGCTCTCTCTCTCTCTCTCTCTAAAATAATAAATAATAACATACTATTAAGTAATATTTAAATTCTATCTTAAAATATTCTCAAATCATAAAAGGGATTATTTAAATGGCACACAATTGTATATTGTGGTATAAAATACCAATAAAATAAGAATATAAAAATTATGCAACATTAAACTAATATTATAAATATAGTTGAATTTTATATTACAAACATTTTATGCAATATAATATTAAGACTTAAATAAATTCTGTAAATAAATTTCTATTAAAGGGCACAGAATTCTCAAAAATTACATTACATTCAAAATAAAATAGTAATGTTTACTCTAAAAATTAACAATAAAATTAATAATTAGATCATTTATTACTATATTATAAAAATAACATAATTAATTCACAATGTTAGTGTTGTTTTAGATTTAATTTAGAAAAAAGTATTCCAATGGAAATAAAAATAATTTTAAATACAGTCGTTTTTGACATTTGATTAAGTAATAGAAAATATTTTTCCGATACTAGACATTGAAAAGGTTTTAAGTATTTGTAAGGATTGAATGAATACTTTAGAGAAAATGTTGGCTCAAATTGATTTCAATAAATCGATTCTACATTTGAATTCTTGTATATATTTTATACGGAATTTTCTGATTCGGAAAAGAGATCACAAATTATTCCGATATTCTATTGAATAGGATTAGAGTATTTTTGTGATAATTTTTTAAAACGACTCAAACCTTTAAAAGGAGTCATGAATTCATGGAAATTCACTGAAATTTAAAATAAATGCGATTTCAATGTTTACACTTAAAAATACTGTAAGAGATTATACTGTACTTAATCAACAATTTTCTAGGCGTTTCGCTTCAATGCTTTTATCAAATAATTTTATTTATGCTTTCGTTCAATCATTTAAAGTCCAGTTTCTTTGGCATAGACTTTATATTTACTTCTAAAAATAAATTTAATTTATTAATATTAAAATATGCCCATTCTACTTTATTATAAAGCTCTTATTAATAGTGAAATAATGAAAATTATATGAAAAATAAAAATATATCAAAAAATTAATTTAGTAAAACCTTTTCTACCGTATAGCTAAACTCTCGAGAAATAAACAGTTTGTTTTTTGACACAAAATCCTTAGTTTTAAGATATTAAATTTTTAAAATATTGCAAACACATTTATTTGTAATGTTTTAGATTTTATGGTGAAATGAATAATATATTTTAAAGTAGAAAATATTATACGATAATTATGATAGAATTTGTTTGAATGGAAAGTTGTCTTAATTATAATTGTAAAATATAGAGCCTTTGGTGAAGTAGACGGCTATGTGTTGCAGTGACTGTGAGCTAACCACAGAGAATAAGTTCACGTATTTGGATAGAAATCAATAAAATAGTTTTGAAGGACTTCAACTATAACTGAAATATTATGACAACAAGAATATCACAGCTTTTTTGTCAAATTCATAAAATCACAAGTTTTTGCTCTTTAGATGACATCGAGGATCTGATATAAGTAGTGATGTGTCACTTATTTGCCAAATATGTTCGCTCTTCAATCCGTTTCCTATATTTCTTTTCTTTAATAGATTTGTCAATAAACTTATAAATTCATAAAATCACTAGAAAATCATTTTACGTTTACTTGAATCCAGTGAAAATAAATAATGACTATTTTTATCATTTAAAAGTCAAGAGTATATTCTATTGAGTAGAATA